ATGAAGTGGCTAGACAGAATACTAATAATAACAAAACCTGCCTCATATGACTGACTGATTCACTGTAACCATGTGTGTAAGGCGCCCAGCCCAGAAGTAAGCACTAAATACATTTTATGGAAGAGTTCTAGTTTTGTTTTGTTTTTTTGGTACCGGGGATCAAACTCAGGTCCTTGCACTTGCAGGGCAGGCAGCAGAACCACTGAGCTAAATCCCCGGCCCCAAAGAGTTCTATGAACACTGAAAGAAAAGAAAAAGTAAACAGACCATGGTGACACACAGCTATAGCCCCAGCTACTCAGAGCACTGAGGCAAGAGGGTCACAAGTCTGAGGTCAAGCTGGGCAACTGAGTGAGAGCCCATCTCAAAAAAAGAAAAAAGAGGGGGCTGGGGATTTAGCTCAGTGGTGTCGCCGCCTCCCTTGCAAGTGCAAGATCCTGAGTTTGATCCCTGGTACCAAAAAAACCCAAAAAACAAAAATAAGAAAAAGGAGGGCCAGGGATTTAGCTCAGTGGCGCCACATCTGCCACACAAGCACAAGATCCTGAGTTCGATACAGTACCTGGGGGGAAAAAAGTAAAGTGTTTTATTAATGAAGACATTGAGACCACAACAACCAAGGGACAGGCTGGAATGAAGCTAGGAGAAAGCTAGATGATTTAAGTATTCAGGGAAGGGTGTTCACAAGTTCTCTGAAATCATCAGACTTGTAACCAACTATTTTTTTTTTTGAGACAGGGTCTCGCCATGTAGCCCAGGCTGCCCTCAAACTCAGAATAATCCTTCTGCCTCGGACTCCCGAGTGCTTGGATGACAGGTGTGTGGCACCATGCCTAGCTTTCAACCATTCTTTATACTTCTGTTAATGATACATTTGATTTTTATTCCTTATTGATTTGATTCCTTTGTATTTCTAGGATACTTCCTCTGGACCTGGAACAAGGTAAAGGCTCAAGGGAAGATTCAGAGGTCAGAAACCCCATGCACAATGAATAAATGGCCAAGTGGGGTGCACAGAGCCTCAGTGGTAACTCTGGCCTTTCGTCGGCCCCACCCAGTCCCTCCAATGAATGGCCACCATTAGAGAAGCTAGATAAAGGGAATATTGAGGTGTTCCCTGAAGAGACCTTGACCCCATAATGATGGAGCAATGACACCCACAGCCCAAGTCTGTCTTTCCACTCCAAGCTGTGCGTATCAGAAAGGGTATCTGCTCAGGAATCAAACACACCAGGGGAAGAATCCCAGCTCAGCTCCTTACTAGCATCTAACTGACAAAGCACCCATCAGCAGGGTACCACCACTTCACAGGCAAATGCTGCCTCTGCCACAGGGCCAGCTGCTGGGTGTCCTGACCCTGGCCCAACACACAGAGGCACCACAGACAGTTGAGCCGAAAGTCCAGACTTTCCATGGAAACAGGGAGGCTTCATAGCCCAGAATGCCCCAGGCAACTCCCCTGTCCCCCCAGCACTACCCCCAAGGACAATGAGGTACTGTTTTGCAAAGGGTCAAGACTGCTGAGAAGCTGAGAGAAGACATGTGCAGATTCCACCAGTAACTGGGCATTGCCAACATCTGGCTGTTCCCCTTGCTAGTGGATGGGAAGTCAAGTTATCAAGTCCTGCCCTGGACCCACTGTTTGCCATGCAGGTCACTTCCTAGGGATGGCCCCCAGGGCAGAAATTTTAGGGTAACTACCAGTTATTCCACAAGCCTTGTGGCTCATCCCCTAGTTAGTCCCCAGCCCCTACCACCTTATGATTAAGATGACCAGATCTGGAATTAGATCAGTCTGGACTCAATCCCCAGCTCCCCCTGCGAACTTCGCTGAGCTCAGGTTTCTCCATCTATGAAGCAAAGATAAATCACTTCCCTCTCAGACAGTTGTAATAATACTCAAAAAGTGCTGAGTACGGTGCCTGTCTCCTATCGAGCATGTGCAATCACTGCTGGGCCACAGTTGTGACCAACTCCCCCCACCTCAAGAACATTAGAATGTGAACAAGAGGAGAGAGAGGAGTTGGGGCAGAAAACATAATCTCAGTGTTGTGGGAACGCTGTCCAGGAAACCCTGGCCAGAATGTGAACAGAGTGAACTCCAGCCTAACCAGCATCTAAACTGCAATGAAAAAAGCCACCAAGCAGCCACCCAGCAGCACAGAGTGAAGAGAGGAGAGAACACACAGAGAAGGGTAGGACACGCTGTGTTTATGTTTTTCTGCTCAAAGACCTATAAATTTGTAACTTATTAAACAGCACATGGTGATTCTGTCACTGGCCACAATGGGGAGGGGAAGAGTTATCCAAATTTTTTTTTTTTAAGACCAAAAAACAAAGTCATAAAGGAGGCTCAGCTCTCCTGGCCTTGCCATGGGAGAGATCACTGTAAACTCTCCCTGTGCTGGGGACCAGGAGGCTCATAGTGGACAGCACTCTCAGGAGAAAAATAAAAACAAGAGGCCTGGCCTTTGTGTCCACCCTAAGGAAAACAGCTGATGGGCAGTGTGCTGAGCAGCCATCCAGACAGCTGACAGGGCCTGGGCTCAAAGGCGAATTCCTCTCCCCTCCTGCACACCCGATTCCTCCCACCCTAGACTGGGGTCAGCCAGGCGTGGCTGCTCCCCTGGGAGCTCAGGCCAAGGAAGTGAGGCAGCCAGGACCCAAGCAACAAGACAGCCTATGGAGGAAGGTGGCAGAAGTCACAGGTGGCGGTCTCTGTCCACTGCAACCCTTCCTCAAGCACCTATGAGGCCCCTTCCCAGAAGAAATACCTCTTGCTGCACAAGAGCTGCAGATCAAGGAGCTAGGAACTGGGTTTCCACTCATGGTTTTGTCTTATTATAGCTATGCAGCTTTGGTCTCAGTGTTCTCAATTTGTAAAAGACAAGTAGACATGAAAGCAGCAGCCTTAGGGAGATCTTACAAGAGGTCTGTTGTGAGGATGGGACAAATCTAGGCATGGGGAAGTACTCCATAAACAGCAAATTTCAATTCCTACAATCCCCTCTGCCAGGACACTCTCTTTCCTTTCAGAGACTAAGTCAGTTTCCTGGCCCTAAATGGAAGACCGACCGTCAGAAGACAGGAATTCCGGACTTTGATTGTGAACTCTACAAAGAATTTTTCAGTCCTTCAAACAACATCAGGACTGTCCAGAAGCAACAGAATCCCACCACCATGTTAGAAACTAACTCTGCTCCCTAGTTTCAACTGGGAAAGCCCTGAGACTTTCAGATCCTGATGCAAAGCACATCCCCCAGCCTCCTGTCAGCTTAATTATTTTTACGTGAAAAAAAAATACCTGCCTGAAGCCAAGCCAACCTTCAGTGTGCTGGGAAAATGGGTGCCAAGCCTGACCCAAAGGCAGAACTATGCTTGGCAGCCATCACATTCTGCAAAACAGGCAGGACCCTACACCAACCTCTCTTTCAGAATCTCCCAGGGCCTCCCTGATCCCAGTCCGTCTGATGAATCTGCTTCTCAGAGGTTGGGACAGAGGAGGCATAAATGGTCACACAAGCTACCCACAGTCCAGAGAGGGAAGACAAGGCTCCTACAGAGAAGAAACCCACCCCTCCTCCCCGCCCCAGCATCCCCAGCTCAGAGACATGGGACAGAGAGAGAAGCAGTGAATCCTCCGCTATGGGAATCACACCACTCACTAAAGTCATTCCTAGAACCCTGGCATGAAGCCCCTTGGGTTCAGAATCCACTTCCAGGAGATACTTTCGTCTGCCTGAACTAACACCAGATCAAGACTGGACTGAAAAGAGCACCCTCAGGGCTCCATTAACAAGAAAACAGTAAAACTCTGTTCTGGGGACCTGTCTTCCTTACCTGTGTGGCTGCCAACAGGGCCTGACGCTGGAGGTGGGGGACCCTGCCAGCCAGGGCCTGTTCAGAGATGGCCGTACCTCCTGGCCTGCCTTCCACTTCATTCCTCTGGCATTTCACCAGGATGGGGGAATGGAGGGGAGAGGCATGACTCCCCAACTTGTCTTGTAGGTTTACAAATGAAGGAGAGGCTGGTCTCGGGGTGGATGGCTAGTCAGGTCAGGGAAAATGGAATGATCGGTCCATGAAACGGGGTTACCAGACTGGAAATGAGGGGTTTAGTGGAGTAGACTGGGAAACTTGTCATTGAAACGGGGGTGTGGTCATCACAGGCTCATCATTAGCTTGTGAATCTGACTTGTGAGATGAAAGCAGTGGGCTCCAAGGGACTACTCCTGACGTGTGGGGGCCAGTATGTGAAGTGGGGGGCCTCCCTGGAGGGGGAGGAGCGAGCCCCAGAAATGAAGGACCAGCCCACGACACCGTATGAAGCGGCAGCTCCCCGAGTTGGGTGGTTGATCTGTGTGAGGTGGGGGTGGGGAGCGGTCTGTGAAGTGAGGGTCTAGTACCTGAGGAGGTGGTCTGGTGCAGGGAGCGGGGCCCCGTCCTGAAGCGGACGATGTGGGTTCCTGGGAGTTAGCTGGTGCCTGGGCCCGGGACAGGAGATGAGGGTGGGTCGCCACAATCGGGGGTGCCAAGGTGGGGCCGTCCCCATGCGGAGGGTGGCCGCAGTGAGGACGGCTGCAGGGCCGGCCTGGCCTGAGACACAGGCCCAGCGCGGGATCCCAGCCCCGCAGAGCCCGGGCCGGCAGGGACAGGAGCAGGAGCCCGGGCTGCCGGAGGTGGGATCCCGCGGACCCCGCCGCTGGCTCCCGCCCCCCCCCGGCCCGGGACCGCGCACCCCTCGCCGCTTCTTCCCTCACCCTCGGGCTCACTCACCGAGGTCGTCCATGGCGGGGCTGCGGGTGTCGGGATCCGGCTCGGCGTGACGTTCTCTGCCCGTCCCGGGGCCGCTGCTCTCCGCCCGGCAACTTTTCCGCCACCAGCCTTGGCCCGGAACAGAACGCGCCGCCGCTGCGCGCGCCCGCGCCCGCCGCGCCCGCCGCGCCCCGCCCCCGTCGCGCCCGCGAACATCTGGCCCCGCCCCGCGTGGGCTCTGGCCACTCCCCTCGCCCCGTGACAAGCTGACACGCCTCTAGTGGACGCTGGCCACGCCCCCCGCCTACCCAGGGGGCCGCGCCAAAGTCCGGACTGGGGGCGACGCGGGGCGTGGCTGTGGCGCCCCCTGGCGGACGAGTGGGCCTGCGGGAGGCCTCCAGGCCCTCAGGCCCTCCCGCTAGTCTCTGTCGTTCAAAGTCACTTCCTGACCTTCAAACGGACAGATGTGTCGGTTCATTCATCAGTCACTCGGTCATCATATGCCTCCGTGTCCACTGGAAAGTCTGATTCTCCCAGTAGGTCCCCTCCCGGGAGGACCCTAAACCAGTACCAGGCAAGGGCCGGATCCTTTGGAGGACATTTCCTGGGGTTGCCCTGTGGACCGTGCAGGTCACAGACCAGCCTTTGAGCCCAAATCCAATACTTGTGAGGTTACATATCTTTTAGTCTTCACAAATCCACTGTCCCTAGAGTCTTTGCCAAGATTCTGCACAGGGTGGAAGGGTCCCCAGATGAGCTGTCAAAGGGAAAACGGCAGGAAAGTCACACGCAGGGTACTCAGAAATTGCATAATAACAGCTATTTCTTGAGTGTCTGAATAGACAAATACTATATACCTATTATCAAATTAATTCCCACTGAGGTAGTTATTAATTGTCCTTCCTCACACTTTAGGATAGGTGATGGTAGTTGGCCAATTTTAAGTTGAAATGCTCTGCAGACACAGCTTCAATCTCTCCCTGTCCCTCAAGAATCCAGCCACCAACTCCCTCTGTGTCAGGCTAGGCTCTCCAGAAAACAAATGCTGAGATAAAGTTAGGGGCAACACCTGTGAAAGAGAAAGGGCAATGAATAGGGTCAGGTAAGAAGACTCACATCTGACAAAGGCAGGCATCCCAATGCGCTTGGGAGGCTGAAACATGGAGATCACCAGCAAGACTCCGTCCCCACAGGCTGGGGATTTAGCTCAGTGGTTTTGCCGCCTGTCTTGCAAGCGCAAGGACCAGAGCTTGATCCCCGGCACTAAAAAAAAAAAAAAAAAAAAGTCTATCATCATTATTTTGGGGCTTTCAACATAAAACTGTTCGATCCCCAGTACCAAAAACAAAACAAAACAAAAAAATTTCCTGACTCTTGTTACTATTATTTTTAGCAACTAGAAGCACTCATCATGATTATAGCTAAGTAAGCTGAGCATAGTGGTGCACATCTATAATCCCAGCACTCAGGAGGCTGAGGTAGGAGAATTGCTGCAAGTTCGAGGCCAGCCTGGACTAAATAGTAAGACCCTCCTCAAATCGAAACAAAACAAAATGGTTATAATTAAGTAATTCTTATGTACTTGCTGTTTGTGTCTGTCTCCTGCTCAATTCTAGACTTCAGAAAGATGGAGCTCACTTGTTTGCTGCCCTATCCCTGGCATAGGTCACAGCACATAGTAGGTGCTCAGTAAAAACACATAAGGTGAATAACTTTATGTGTGTGTGGTTCTGGGGATTGAACTCAGAGCCTTCACGCTCAGCTGCATCGCTGTGAGACAATGTCTCCTTAAACTGCTAAATTGCTCAGGCTGCATTCAAACTTTTGATCCTCCTGACTCAAAAAATTTGGAAAAGGGTTGGGGATGTAGCTCAGTGTGAAGGCCCTGTGTTCCAGTACCATTTAAAAAAATTAAAAAGTAAATGAAGTTATAGTCTGAATTCTTTGGGGGAATGAGGAGCTGGAGGAGTCTGGATTTTATTTGTGGGTATCGGGGAGAAGTTATTGGGGATTGAACCCAGGGCATTGCACATGCTCAGTAGTGCTCTACCACTGAGCTACATCCCCAGCCATCTTTCTTTTTTTTTTTTTTTTCTAAATAGATTCTTGCTATGCAACCTTAAACTCACTATGTACCTAGCCAGGCTGGCCTCAAACTGATGGTAATTCTCCTGCCTCAGCGTCCTGTGGTGCTGGGATTACAGGGATGCACCACTCCCACTGCCTGTCTGTCCGTCTTTCTTTCTTTCTTTCTTTCTTTCTTTCTTTCTTTCTTTCTTTCTTTCTTTTTTTCTTTTCTTTCTTTCTGTACTAAGAATTGAATCCAGAGAACACTGAGCTCCATTCCTGTCCCCCTACGCCCTTTTTTGTTTTGTTTTTTGTGGCACCAGGTATTAAACTCAGGACCTTGTGCTTGTGAGGCAGGTGTGGCACCACTGAGCTAAATCCCTGGCCCCCTTTTTTGTGTTTTTCAAACAGGGTCTTGCTATGTCACTCAGACTGGTCTTGAACTCACAATATAGCCCAGACTGACTTTGAACTCATGGTAATCCTCCTGCCTCAGCCTCCTCAGTGCTGGGATTACAGGTGGACACCAGCATGCCAGGCCCACCAGCCCTTTTTAAAATTTTTATTTTGAAGAGTTGGAGGTGTGCCCCCCTGTTAGAACACTTGCCTAGTATGTTTGAAGCCCTGGGTTCAATTCCCAGTGCCACTAAAATAAAATAAATTTTGAAGCAAGACCACTAAGTTGCCCAGGCTAGCCTTGAACTTGTGATCCTCCTGCCTCACCCTGAGTAGCTGGGATACAAGCACGCCACCACATGCTGCTGAGGTCTAGCTTCTTTGGCTCAGTGTAATATTTGCAAGATTCCTCCATGGTGTGTGTGTATTAGTTAGTTGTTTTCCCTTTTTGCTGTGGAGTAGGACTCCATTGTATGGATGAGCCAGCACTTGCTGCTCCGTTATCCTGGTGATAAACATGAAGGTTCTTTCCCAGCTTGGGCCGTGATAAATACAGCTGCTATGAACATTTGCGTAGAAGTCTTTGTGAAGACATATGGTTTCATTTCTCTTGGGTAAATACCTAAGAGAAGAACAACTGGGTTGTAAAGTAGCATTTAAAAAATGTAAATTCAGTCTCATCAGTCCTGGTTTAACCACTCCAGTGGTTTTCCGTTGCACTTGGAATAAAACAAACTCTTCACAAGGGTCTCCAGGGCTGTGCCTCAAATCCGCTCCTCTTCACTCTCCCCAGGTTCACTGTGCCTCCCCCCACACTGGCCTCCCCCTGCTTTATATCCTCCAAGCACAGAAAGCCACTTCTGGCTGTAGGGCCTTTAAAGTTTAGGGCCCCCTTGCTGGAATGTTCTTTGCAGAGATCTTGGTATCATCTCTGTGGATTCTGGACATTGCATCTAAAGTCCTCCTGATGCTGGGGGTGGTGTTGCCAATCTGTAATCCCAGCACTCTGGGAGGATTGCAGGTTCGAGGCCAGCTTGGGCAATTTAGCAATTGAGTAAAACCTCATCTGAAAATTAAGAAATTAAAGGGCTAGGGGGCCAGGGATTTAGTTCAGTGGCACAGGGGCGCCTGCTTCACAAGCACAAGGTCCTGAGTTCAATTCCTGATACCGAAAAAAGAAAAGAAAAGAAAAAGAAATTAAAGGGCTGGGGATGTAGTTCAGTGAGAAAACCTTGGGTTCAATCTTTAGGAGAGAGAGAGAGAGTCCCAGAGACATAGCTCAGTGGTAGAGCATATTCTTAGCATGTGCAAGGCCCTGGGTTCCATTCCTAACACAAAAGAAAAGGGGGTGGGGATTGAAATGAGGCCTGCAAACTGTTTTCTGGAAAAGCACTAATGCCGCAGGCCGACCTGGTTTTTGAAGAACTCAGGCTGCAGGAAGAGCATTCCAAAAGGAGGGGCTGCTGTTCAGAAAGGTATGCTGAGGGCCCCAGAACGGGAGCAGCAGGATTGAAGTTTATCTCAAAGAGGAGTCACGTGGCCCATAGGGTGGAACCTAGCAGAAACTTCAGACCTCAGGGGCTACCTCTAGTGTTCAGCAATTCCAAGACAGAAAAAGGTTCGGATCCCGGCTCTGCCAGCTGCCAACCTCGCAGTCTTGGGCCTGATACCTCATTCATCTGAGCCTCTGTTTTCTTTTTTTTTTTTTGCCTCCATTTTCTTATCCAGAAAATGGGAGTGAGGTAGGTCTGTGTTCTGGAGCAAGTGGCTTAAGCACTTTGAGCCTCAGTTGCTTGAACTGCAAAATCTGGATAATAAAGTGCACACTTTCCGTGCTTGTGTGGATTCAACAACAGCAAAAATGGATGAAAACGGCTGAGAAACTGTAACCTATAATTTTCATCAAAGAGCCAGCTGCCAGGTAGTGGCACACACCTGTAGTTGAGGCAGGAGGATTCCCAGGAGTTGGAGGCCAGCCTGAGCTACATAGTGAGTTGAAGGCCAGCCTGGACTACAAAGCAAGACCCTGTCTCAAAAAACAAACAAAAAGTCATCAAAGTATCCAAGAGGGACCTCAAGGCTAGAAGAGAAAGAGACAAGTTTGGAGATTTATCCAGACACCAAAGGGTTGCAGAATCCAGGTTGTGATTAGTAATAATTATTATAACATAAAATTGTTTATTATTTGAAACATTTATTAACATATGAGTAGCAAAATATTAGGTCTTTTTTTTTTTCTTTTGGTAATGGGGCTTGAACCCAGGCCCCACTACGCTTTATTTTGAGACAGAATCTCCCTAAGACTGTCCTCAGACTTGCTATTCTCCTCTCACCTCAGGCTCCCAAATACCTAGGATTACAGGCATTGTAAGTGCAGGCCCCTGGTGACTCCAACACATGCCTTGGGAAGGGCTTGGCTGCCTCTGAATTTGGGGGAGCACACAATCTGAGTCATGTCTACTTAAAAATCTTTGTAACATCTGCAGGGCATGATGCCACACACCTGTAATCCTAGCATTCAGGAGGATGAGGCAGGAGGATTGCTGAGAGTTCCAGGCCAGCCTAAACTATATGGCAAGACTCTGTCTCAAACAAAACAAAAACATCTGGGACGAGGATTTAGCTCAGTGGTTCTGCTGCCTGCCTCGAAAGTGCAAGGACCTGAGTTCAATTCCTGGTAGGAAAAAAAAAAACAAGAAAAAAACCCCAAAACATCTTTGTGTCAACAGAATATACCCAATGACTTCTGACTTCATTAGAGGACCCTGTGCCATGTGCCTCTTCCCCAGGTCTGCCTACTTCTTCCACAGAAGATGACTTTTCCCCCATTGCTGGGGATTGGACCCAGGCCCCTGCACATGGGAGGTACACACTATACCACTGAGCTTCAGCCCCAGCTGAGAATAACTCAATTCCTCCAGACCCCTGCAGGAGCTGAAACCACTGTTAAGAGCCCTCCTACCCTCTGTGTCCTGGCTATCTTCTGCTCTCCTTCAGTTCAGAGCTTGCCCCGCTGCCTCCTCCAGGAAGCCTTCCCTGACTGCCACCCTGGTTGGAGAGTTGACTCTGTAACTGCCCACCAAAGCACTTCACCAGGTCCCAGGCACTCCCTGGACCACTTCTCCTGTGGAATCTTATTTAATACCCACAAACACTCTGGCAGTGGGTCTCATCGTTGAAGGTACACTGGAATCACCTGGGCAGCTTTGAAATATATTTTGTCCAGACGCAATCTGCAGACCTTCTGATTTAATTGATCTGGAATGTATTCTGTGCATCCATATTTTTATTTATTTATTTATTTTTGGTTTTTTGAGACAGGGTCTCGCTGTGTTGTCCAGGCTGGCCTCAAACTCATGGCGATCCTCCTCCCTCAGCCTCCTGGGTGCTGAGATTATAGGTCTGCACCACCACATTCAGCCTAGGATTTTTTATTTTTTATTTTATTTTTTGTACCGGGGATCGAACTCGGGTCCTTGAGCTCTCGAGGCAGGCGGCAGAACCAATGAGCTAAATCCCCGGCCCTTTTTTTTTTTTTTCTGTCACTATGTAGTCCAAGTTGGCCTTGAACTCTCCATGATCCTACTGCCTCAGTGTCTCAGAGTT